TGGGAATTGACATAGTTACTTTTTGCTGATGATACTGTGCTTATGGGAGATTCTAAAGAAAAGTTGCAAAGGTTAGTGGACAAGTTTGGGAGAGTGTGTAAAGGTAGAAGGTTGAAAGTGAACATAGAAAAGAGTAAGGTGATGAGGGTATCAAATGATTTAGATAAAGAAAAATTGGATATCAAATTGGAGAGATGGAGTATGGAAGAAGTGAATGTTTTCAGATATTTGGGAGTTGACGTGTCAACGGATGGATGTATGAAGAATGAGGTTAATCATAGAGTTGATAAAGGAAAAAACGTGAGTGGTGCGTTAAGGTATATGTGGAGACAAAAATCGTTATTTATGGAAACAAGGAAGGCAATGTATGAAAGTATAGTAGTACCTACACTCTTATATGGGTGTGAAGCTTGGGTGGTAAATGCAGCAGCGAGGAGACGGTTGGAGTCAGTGGAGATGTCCTGTCTAAGGGCACAGTGTGGTGTTAATATTATACAGAAAATTCGGAGTATGGAAATTAGGAGAAGGTGTGAAGTTAATAAAAGTATTAGTCAGAGGGCTGCAGAGGGGTTGTTGAGGTGGTTTGGTCATTTAGATAGAATGGATCAAAGTAGAATGACAAGGAGAGCGTATAAATCTGAAGGGAAGGAAGGCAGGGTAGGGGTCGTCCTCGAAAAAGTCGGAGGGAGGGTATAAAGGAGGTGTTGTGGGCGAGGGGTTTGGACTTTCAGCAAGCGTGCATGAGCGTGAATGGAGACGAATGGTATTTGGGACCTGACGAGCTGTTGGAGTGTGAGCAGGGTAATATTTAGTGAAGGGATTCAGGGAAACCAGTTATTTTCATATAGTCGGACTTGAGTCCTGGAAATGGGAAGTACAATGCCTGCACTTTAAAGAGGGTTTGGGATATTTGGCAGTTTTTGGGGGGATATGTTTTGTAAACTTTATACGAAAATGCTTCTAAACTGTTGTATTCTGAGCACCTCTGCAAAAACAGTGATTTTGTTTAAGGGGGGTGAAAGGGTATTGAGAAATATTTTCTTTCAAATCCTCTCGGTGGAACGAGCACCTTTTCAAAAATATTATTTAAAAATATAAATTTAAATATTTTAAATATTTTTTTTTTATATTTTAAAATTGTGTTTTTTGTGTATTTATATATATTTTAAATATATATATATATTATATATATATATATATATAATATATATATATATATATATATAATATATATATATTTAATATATATAGGTAAAATAAAGGGGGTAAGGCAGCCGGGATTGATGGGATAAAGATAGAAATTTTAAAAGCAGGTGGGGATATATTTTGGAGGGGTTTTGGTGCAATTATTTAATAAATGTATGGAAGAGGGTAAGGTACCTAGGGATTGACAGAGAGCATGCATAGTTCCTTTGTATAAAAGCAAAGGGGACAAAAGAGAGTGCAAAAATTATAGGGGGATAAGTCTGTTGAGTGGACCTGGGAAAGTGTATGGTAGAGTTTTATTGAAAGAATTAAGAGTAAGACTGAGAATAGGATAGCAATGAACAAGGAGGCTTAGGAAAAGGGAGGGTGTGTGGACCAGGTGTTTACAGTGAAACATATAATGAACAGTATTTAATAAGGCTTTAAAGAGGTCTTTGTGGCATTTATGGATTTGGAAAAAGGGCCCATGACAGGGTGGATAGGGGGGGAATGTGGCAGATGTTGCAGGTGTATGGTGTAGGGGGTAGGTTACTGAAAGCAGTGAAGAGTTTTTACGAGGATAGTGAGGCTCCAAGTTAGAGTACATAGGAAGAGGGAAATTATTTCCCAGAAAAAGTAGGCCTAGACAAGGATGTGTGATGTCACCGTGGTTGTTTAATATATTTATAGATGGGGTTGTAAGAGAAGTAAATGCGAGGGTCTTTACAAGAGGCGTGGAGTTAAAAGATAAAGAATCACACATAAAGGGGGGAGTTGTCACAGTTGCTCTTTGCTGATGACACTGTGCTCTTGGGAGATTCTGAAAAAAGTTGCAGAGATTGGTGGATGAATTTTGGTAGGGTGTGCAAAAGAAGAAAATTAAAAGTGAATACAGGAAAGAGTAAGGTTATGAGGATAACAAAAAGATTAGGTGATGAAAGATTGAATATCAGATTGGAGTGAGAGAGTATGGAGGAGGTGAATGTATTCAGATATTTGGGAGTGGACGTGTCAGCGGATGGGTCTATGAAAGATGAGGTGAATCATAGAATTGATGAGGGGAAAAGGGTGAGTGGTGCACTTAGGAGTCTGTGGAGACAAAGAACTTTGTCCTTGGAGGCAAAGAAGGGAATGTATGAGAGTATAGTTTTACCAACACTTATATGGGTGTGAAGCATGGGCGATGAATGTTGCAGCGAGGAGAAGGCTGGAGGCAGTGGAGATGTCATGTCTGAGGGCAATGTGTGGTGTGAATATAATGCAGAGAATTCGTAGTTTGGAAGTTAGGAGGAGGTGCGGGATTACCAAAACTGTTGTCCAGAGGGCTGAGGAAGGGTTGTTGAGGTGGTTCGGACATGTAGAGAGAATGGAGCGAAACAGAATGACTTCAAGAGTGTATCAGTCTGTAGGGGTAGGGGTCGGCCTAGGAAAGGTTGGAGGGAGGGGGTAAAGGAGGTTTTGTGTGCGAGGGGCTTGGACTTCCAGCAGGCGTGCGTGAGCGTGTTTGATAGGAGTGAATGGAGACGAATGGTTTTTAATACTTGACGTGCTGTTGGAGTGTGAGCAAAGTAACATTTATGAAGGGGTTCAGGGAAACCGGCAGGCCGAACTTGAGTCCTGGAGATGGGAAGTACAGTGCCTGCACTCTGAAGGAGGGGTGTTAATGTTGCAGTTTAAAAACTGTAGTGTAAAGCACCCTTCTGGCAAGACAGTGATGGAGTGAATGATGGTGAAAGTTTTTCTTTTTCGGGCCACCCTGCCTTGGTGGGAATCGGCCGGTGTGATAATAAAAAAAAAAAATATATATATATATATATATATATATATTATATATATTATATATATATATTAATTTATATGTCGTGTCGAATATGTAAAACTGGTCAATTAGCAAGAATTCATTTAAAATTAAGTCCATTCTAAAATTTTCTCTTATACGTTTAAAGATATATTTTTTTCATTAATATTGATGTAAAAATTTATAATTTTGCACGAAAAGGAACTTGGAAATCTTACCTAACCTTATTATAACAAGAACAATTTATTTTAGCCTAACCCAACTAAATATATTTTAGTTTTGTTTACAATAATTTAATACTAAACAAACACAGTAAAATAAATTTTTTTCGTTAGGTTCAGAATGATTTTGCGAAATTATTGCATACACAAATTTTCACTTGTCCTATATGGCAAGATGAACGTTGCTATTTAAGCCAAGATCGCAAGTTCTGCCTATTCGGCACGACATATATATATATACACACACACACACACATATATATATAATATATATATATATATATATAATATATATTATATATATATATATATATATATATATATATAAAATATATAAATATATATATATATATATATATATATATATATATATATATATATATATATGTCGTGCCGAATAGGCAGAACTTGCCATCTTGGCTTAAATAGCAACGCTCTTCTTGCCATATAGGACAAGTGAAAATTTGTGTATGCAATAATTTCGCCAAAATCATTCTCAACCTAAGGAAAAAAATATATTTCACTGTGTTTGTTTAGTATTAAATTATTGTAAACAAATCTAAAATATATTTAGTTGGGTTAGGCTAAAATAAATTGTTCTTGTTATAATAAGGTTAGGTAAGTTTTCTAACTTCCTTTTGGTGCAAAATTATAAATTTTTACATCAACATTAATGAAAAAAATATATCTTTAAACATATAAGAGAAAATTTTAGAAAAGACTTAATTTTAAATGAGTTCTTGCTAACTGACCAGTTTTACATATTCGGCACGACATATATATATATATATATATATATATATATTTATATACAGTGGGAACTGCTCAGTGAGTAGTTTCCTCTTTGCCTCCAGAACAGCCTGAATTCTTCGTGTCATGGATTCAACAAGATGTTGAAAACATACCTTAGAGATTCTAGTCTATGATGACATTATAGCATCACGCAGTTGTAGCAGATTTGTCGGCCACCCAGGCAAGATGAATCCGTAGATTTATGCTGTTTACGTCAAATTCTGACCCGACCATCTGCATGCTTCAGCAGAAATCGTGATTTGTCAGACCAGCTGAGGTTTTTCCAGTCTTCAACCGTTCAGTTTTGATGAGCCTGTACCCACCGTAGCCTCAGTTCCCTGTTTTTAACTGACAGAAGTGGAACGAACACGATGTGGTCTTATTCTCCTGTAACCCATCCACTTCAAGTTTCCTGGTGTTGTGCATTCAGACATGCTCTTCTGCATGCCATTGTTTTGAGTTACTGTTTCCTTACTGTCAGCTTGAACCAATCTGGCCACCTCCTCTGACTCTCTTATTAACAAGGCATTTTCGCCCATAGAACATCCCCTCACTGGATGTTTTGTGTTTCTCAAACCATCCTCTGTAAACTCTAGACTGCTGAGCGTGAGAATCCCGAGATAAGCTTTGTCTGATCATTCCACAGAGTCTTTTACATCACATTTCTTCCCCATTCTGATGCTTGTTCTGAACAAGAACTGAACTTCTTGACCTTGTGTGCTTACTTTTAGGCACTGAGGTGCTGCCACGTGATAGGCTGATTAGATATTTCCCTCAAAGAACATGTCTAGAGTTGTACCCAAGAAAGCGGTTACTTAGTGTGTATATATACTTACATATGCAGAATAAGCCACAGGGGGTGGAAATGGCTTGTTCTGCATTGTTGAGATCGCCTGTTTGCAGCTTACTTATAAATTGATAAGGTGTTTTGGAAATGCCTAAGATTTTTAGGAAAAATTATAAACACATGCAGAGACGAATAATATTTGAAGTAAAGGCCTCACCAGGATTCGTAGCTACACACACAGCGAGCGCTGCTGCTAGGTACATAAGACTCTTCATAACACTGTGATGCTACGACAAACTCTCTGGTCCGGCGATGGAAGAGCCGTCAGCTACGTCAGTGAAGAGGCGACTGTCAGTATGCTGCCTTTTATATCTTCTCATATACTGTATTAGTCGAAAAAAAAAATATACTGGATAACATCCAAAATAGCATTGTCAACCCTGATTATCACTGAAAATGCTGGGAATGTTCTCGAGTTGCTCACGATGAAGAAGATAAAGGAATTTCAGGTCTGTGGAGGCACAGAGTTATTTATGTGCCAGGCACCACAGGCTCGGTTCTCACTGCTAATCTGATGGGAAGAAGCAGGTGTGTGTGTATGTGTGTTTTCTGAGAGTTTTTTTCTCTTATTTCTATTTATATAGTAGAAGAAACAAGGTTATGTTTGCAGTACCCCATCTTCACTTTTTTAAGTTTCTAGAGGTTGTAAAACATTTTACTTCATCTTGGATCTTAATTCCAGTTACCTAACAATCTAGTTGCCAAGAAACATTTCAGTGCGTAAATCTGAACAGGAAATTTTCTTGTCCGAGACCTGTTGCTTCTAGTTCTTAAGATCAACAACAAAAAAAGTACGCATCTATTTCATCCTATTCTTTCATGTTCTTTTATGTATTTATTATATTTTCTCTTTCTCTCTACCAGTGAGGACGTGTCATCGGTTTTTATAATATTTTTTGTTCTGGGAACCATCTTGTAATATTTCTTTCCACTGTTTGTAATTTGTTTACATTTTGTTGTACGGGATCACTACACTGCAGCTACATCCATCACTTTGACTCCAACGACATTTCCAGTTAAAATTTCACCATCCATATATATTTTAAACAATTCCATGTGCAACTTGTTCCCTACTACACATATGTGTGCTCCAGTAATATCGTTTATAGTCTCAATTTCTGAAGTTTTCAGAATTTTATCATAAAATCTGTATAATATATATATATATATATATATATATTATATATATATATATATATATATATATATATATATATATATATAATGTGCCGAATAGGTAAAACTGGTCAATTAGGAAGAGCTCATTTAAAATTAAATCCTTTCTAAAAAAAAATTCTTATACGTTTAATGATTTTTTCATTTATGTTAACGTAAAAATTAATAATTTTCTACCAAAAGAACCTTAGAAAACTTACCTAACTTTATTATAACAAGCGCAATTTAATTTTAGCCTAATCCAACTAAATATATTTTAGATAAGTTTACAGTAATTTAACAATAAACAAACACAATGAAATATATATTTTTCGTTAGGTTCAGAATGATTTTTGCGAGATTATTGCATACACAAATTTTCGCTTGCCTTATCCAGCAAGAAGAGCGTTGCTATTTAAGTCAAACTCACAAGTTTTACCTACTCGGCACGACCTATACATTCCATTTTAACATAGATAAGAGTATAAATAAAAAAGATATGCTTGAGAAAATGAATTTAGGAAATAATTTAATATTTCGAATGCTGAAATATAGCTTTTATGTGTGTTTCATTAAGATATTGAAAGAGGAATGTTTGATGATGTGCTGACCCCGAGAACCTTCCCGTGTGACGGTACCCGTCTCGCTCCTCCCAGCCTGGGTCAGACCATGTGATGGCTTTACACTGTGTGGAGGTTCACAGCGTGGTGTGAAGGCTCACACAGTATGTATGATGGGTCACAGAGGGGTGTTACAGTATGGTGGTTCACACAAAGTTAAAATGAAAACAAAATTCTTTCATTTGCATTTATTATTCCCTAGATACAGAAGCTTAGGTCTTCACAGTGACTGAGAGCGAGAGAGAAAATACTTGCTCAAATACTTCGTTATTCTGGTGTTGTACAACCCATTCGGATTCACTCCTTTCTCATTAGTACAGTAATACTACTACTAATACTCCGAGATGTAATTGTGAAGCAAGACTCCATTATAGAAGATGTGCTTTACCTGCTACCTGATGGGCAGGACTCGACTTTGCTGCGTAATGGGAAGAGACTAGAATGTGCTGTCATGAGAAGGGTAGCAGGACTGGGGAAGGGGAGGTTTAGGGTAAAATAGAGCAGTGACAAAAAGTTGTGGATAGAAGAGAGAGCGAGGTAAGAAAGGTGAGGTAGCTTGATCACTCTGGGGAACTCTCAAGCGAGCGGTTCCCCTCACATAGTGACAAGTATCCACGAGGATGTACCATAATGGTCGTCAACAGAGACTGAGTTGGTGAACAGCTATGGATAATACTTATTTCAAAGAACTCTGTTGATTTTTTTATGTGTGTGTGTGGGTTTTTTATCTTGTGAAATTTTTAGTTATTGATAATCATTTCTTAGTTTTCAAGAAGTTTAAATTTTTTTCAAGATTAGTGAAGACTTGTAAGCGCCTCCTAGTGTAACTCCACTATGACCCTCTTGAAGTTAGTAAATTAGCCAGGGTCACCAGAGTTGTATCTGGGCACAGAGGTGTTGTATTTAGGCACAAAGGTGTTGTATTTAGGCACAAAGGTGTTGTATTTAGGCACAAAGGTGTTGTATCTAAGCACAAAGTGTTGATGCCGTGAAGGTCACGACGTGACTCTCGCCGATGGTTGACTTAGCAGAGAGGCTGAACGTATACGACTCGCATGCATTGAGACCATCAATAGTAACTTCGCTCTTGAAGGTGGAAGTAGAAGTAATTTCTTGAGAGTCAGAGTCTCCACTTGCACCTTCCCAGGAGAGCAAGTATTCGGTGACGCAGTTACTGTAGGTAGCCGGTTCATACCACTCCACTGTGATGGACGAGGTGGTTATTTCCTTTGCTGAAAACTGCTGGGGATCGGAGGGCGTAGAGTCGGCGGTTTTCTGCCTAACTTCAGTCCAAGGACCCTCCTTTTCGGTCGCGGTGATGGCACGCACCTTAAACAAGTAATTAGTGCAGGCTTCCAGTCCAGTGATGAAGTCCGTCACAGGACCTTCTGCCAACATAGGCTTCACCAGACGTCTCAGGTCTTCGTTGATGACTCTAATGTCGTATTCCTTGACGCACTGTGGCTCTTCCGTGGGCGGATCAAAGGACAGTCTGACTCCTGTCTCCGCAACGTCAGTGACCATCAGGTTAGTCACTGGGCCAGGCACTGAGGAAATAAAGGTTATTAACATCCTCTTGAAATCTGCATGTAACATTTTGTAGGGCATGGATTCTGGACTACTAGGAGGCCCAGAAAACTTACTGGAGCCCACAACTAACAGGCCCCACACTACCTCCTTGGGCCCACAACAGCCCCCACACTACCTACTCGAACCCACAACAGGACCCACACTATCTCCCCGAGCCCACAACAGCCCCCACACTATCTACTCGAACCCACAACAGCCCCCACACTACGTACTCAAACCCACAACAGCCCCCACACTACCTACTCGAACCCACAACAGGACCCACACTACCTCCCCGAGCCCATAACAGCCCCCACACTACCTGCTCGAACCCACAACAGCCCCCACACTACCTGCTCGAACCCACAACAGCCCCCACACTACCTGCTCGAACCCACAACAGCCCCCACACTACCTGCTCGAACCCACAACAGCCCCCACACTACCTGCTCGAACCCACAACAGCCCCCACACTACCTGCTCGAACCCACAACAGCCCCCACACTACCTGCTCGAACCCACAACAGCCCCCACACTACATGCTCGAACCCACAACAGCCCCCACACTACCTGCTGGAACCCACAACAGCCCCCACACTACCTGCTGGAACCCACAACAGCCCCCACACTACATGCTCGAACCCACAACAGCCCCCACACTACCTGCTCGAACCCACAACAGCCCCCACACTACCTGCTCGAACCCACAACAGCCCCCACACTACCTGCTCGAACCCACAACAGCCCCCACACTACCTGCTCGAACCCACAACAGCCCCCACACTACCTGCTGGAACCCACAACAGCCCCCACACTACATGCTCGAACCCACAACAGCCCCCACACTACCTGCTGGAACCCACAACAGCCCCCACACTACCTGCTGGAACCCACAACAGCCCCCACACTACCTGCTGGAACCCACAACAGCCCCCACACTACCTGCTGGAACCCACAACAGCCCCCACACTACCTGCTCGAACCCACAACAGCCCCCACACTACCTGCTCGAACCCACAACAGCCCCCACACTACCTGCTCGAACCCACAACAGCCCCCACACTACCTGCTCGAACCCACAACAGCCCCCACACTACCTGCTCGAACCCACAACAGCCCCCACACTACATGCTCGAACCCACAACAGCCCCACACTACCTGCTGGAACCCACAACAGCCCCCACACTACCTGCTGGAACCCACAACAGCCCCCACACTACATGCTCGAACCCACAACAGCCCCCACACTACCTGCTCGAACCCACAACAGCCCCCACACTACCTGCTCGAACCCACAACAGCCCCCACACTACCTGCTCGAACCCACAACAGCCCCCACACTACCTGCTCGAACCCACAACAGCCCCCACACTACCTGCTCGAACCCACAACAGCCCCACACTACATGCTCGAACCCACAACAGCCCCCACACTACCTGCTGGAACCCACAACAGCCCCCACACTACCTGCTGGAACCCACAACAGCCCCCACACTACCTGCTGGAACCCACAACAGCCCCCACACTACCTGCTGGAACCCACAACAGCCCCCACACTACCTGCTCGAACCCACAACAGCCCCCACACTACCTGCTCGAACCCACAACAGCCCCCACACTACTGCTCGAACCCACAACAGCCCCCACACTACCTGCTGGAACCCACAACAGCCCCCACACTACCTGCTGGAACCCACAACAGCCCCCACATTACCTGCTGGAACCCACAACAGCCCCCACACTACCTGCTGGAACCCACAACAGCCCCCACACTACCTGCTGGAACCCACAACAGCCCCCACACTACCTGCTGGAACCCACAACAGCCCCACACTACCTGCTGGAACCCACAACAGCCCCCACACTACCTGCTGGAACCCACAACAGCCCCCACACTACCTGCTCGAACCCACAACAGCCCTCACACTACCTGCTCGAACCCACAACAGCCCCCACACTACCTGCTGGAACCCACAACAGCCCCCACACTACCTGCTGGAACCCACAACAGCCCCCACACTACCTGCTGGAACCCACAACAGCCCCCACACTACCTCTACCTTCTGAAAATATTACAAGCTAATCCATATTAGACTATTACTGTTATTATAATTATTGTATTATTTTTATTTTTATTGTTATAATTATTATTATTATTATTATTATTATTATTATTATTATTATTATTATTATTATTATTATTATTAATGGTAGTGGTAAATTTATGGAAAAGCGCTAAAACTGTAAGAGTCGTACAGTGTATGTAGAATGAGAAGCTATTTTGTTCGATCCAAGAAAGATGTGGATAATTTCAGTTCCTTGGATCAAGAGCCCCTCATTCCAACAATAAGAAACCTCCCCTGAGAGGTAACCCACTAATGGCCACTTCAGCAGATTGCAGTTTTTGAACAATGTTGCAAGTGTTGTGTGTCCTGTATAGAACAGTTGTGTTACGTATTTTGAGTTTTTTCAGTAGCTGCTGAACAGCTAAGTAGCGATGTACAGGAGGAACATGAGAAACAATGATGTTCAAGAGAGGACAGTAGCGTGAAGAATATTGGTGTACAGCAGAGAGCATTAGGATGTGGAGTAGTGGTGTATAGCAGAGAGCATTAGGATGTGGAGTAGTGGTGTACAGCAGAGAGCATTAGGATGTGGAGTAGTGGTGTACAGCAGAGAGCATTAGGATGTGGAGTAGTGGTGTACAGCAGAGTAGCAATGTGCAAAGTAGTGATGTATAGCACAGAACAGTGACATGCAGAACAAGGGTGTGCAGCGCAGAGCAACAGTGTGCAGAGTAATAGTGTACAACAGTGTGCAGAGTAGTTGTGTACAGCAGAGATCAATAGTGTGCACAGTAGTGGTGTACAGTAGAAAATAACTGCATGCCGAATAGTGGTTGGCAGCTGAGTAGCAGCACGTGTTGCAAAAAAAAAAATAGCATTATGCAGTGACATTACAGCAGATGCTTACCAACGTGACTTGATGCTTACCAATGTCGGCAGTGGTGGTGGATTCAGTAACTGTTTCACTGCTGGTGCCGTCAGGAGTCACAACATTGACAGAGATGTCGTAGCGGCTGCAGGGGGACAGGTCAGGAATGGTGAAGTTGTCGGTGCCAGCGGGCACATCCGCACACTCTTCAAGGTGGAGCCCATCATTCCAGCAGATTACGAAACCACCTCCTGCACATTTGTCATCCGAGTTGGTGCCCCACGTCACGTCAATGGAGTCGGTTGAATTGCCAGAGTCCACATGGACGTAGGGAGGAGCCAGGGGATCTGTTGATATGGATGTTAGCATTACAGAAAAACTCGAAATTTGGTCTCTACGTATTGACGTCTTCTGGCCTTTACCCATCAGCTATATGAACCTTCAGAACTACTTTTGTTTACAGTCCTTCCCGGTCCCTGAGCGCAAGGTCCTTTAGGAGGAGCGTGAGTTTCCCTTTCTCCTAATATCATGGTTATTTTTCCCTTATAATCTACCTTGTCCATAATTACTATTACATTTGCTTTGTCTGCTTTCGTAAGGTTAAGTCCGGGATCTTTCCTTAATTCATGGTATAATTTAACAAATCTTTGAGGACACTTATGATGCACATTGACAAGTCAAGTTATACCATAAATTAAGGAAAGATCCCAGACTTCACCTTACGAAAGCAGACAAAGCAAATACAATAGTAATTATGGACAAGGTAGATTATAGGGGGAAAATGATATATTATTATAAGACAGGGGAATTGACGTACCCTTTAATAACCTGCCTCACCTGTCTCATTAGTAGAAGCAAACACTGTGACAGGAGTGCTGGGAGTGCCAGATTTGCCAATGGCAGTAATATCACACTGGTAATCGGTGCAGGCATCGAGGGGTCCAATGGTGGCATAGTTGTCGTATTCTTCCTCAGCACGAAGGTAGCCTGGCTTGACCAGTTTAGTTATGGGACCACAAGTGATGGAGAACCTGCGAGTATGGTCAGATGAGGGTGAAACTCAATAGAGAGAATTCCTCTAAATGAAATACCCGAATCATAAGGAAAAACTGTTAAGAGCAGAATTTAAAAAAAAAAAAAACAAGAATGACAACAATGAGAGCAACTTACTCCCAAAGGCAGAGAGGATTTGTGAGAGGATCGTTCCACTTGAGATCAATGGTCGAGTCTGTGATGATGCCCACAACAACATCGGTAGGTGGCCCGGGAACTGTTTAAGAAAGAACCTGGCTATTAGAACCTACGATAGCTTATTTCACAAGACAGTCACCAGGAGAGATGGATAACTGGTCTGTAAGTTTTATGTTAGAGGGATCATTGCATGTCTCCACTGTTATAAAACTTACTCCACATTTACTGTTGAATCCTAAAATGGATAACTAGTGAGTTATAATTACTTCAGTTATTATTGTTATTAAGGTCATAATTAATACTTAGTATTATAATACGTGACATTTTTATTAGCAATGTAAAGTAATACTTATAAGTATTCTATTCATTCATGTGCTTCACTTGTGTTAGTTAAGTGTTAGTGCTTCACTTGTGTTAGTTAAGTGTTAGTGCTTCACTTGTGTTAGTTAAGTGTTAGTGCTTCACATGTGTTAGTTAAGTGTTAGTGCTTCACATGTGTTAGTTAAGTGTTAGTGCTTCACTTGTGTTAGTTAAGTGTTAGTGCTTCACTTGTGTTAGTTAAGTGTTAGTGCTTCACATGTGTTAGTTAAGTGTTAGTGCTTCACTTGTGTTAGTTAAGCGTTAGTGCTTCACTTGTGTTAGTTAAGTGTTAGTGCTTCACATGTGTTAGTTAAGTGTTAGTACTTCACATGTGTTAGTTAAGTGTTAGTGCTTCACATGTGTTAGTTAAGTGTTAGTGCTTCACATGTGTTAGTTAAGTGTTAGTGCTTCACATGTGTTAGTTAAGTGTTAGTACTTCACATGTGTTAGTTAAGTGTTAGTGCTTCACATGTGTTAGTTAAGTGTTAGTGCTTCACATGTGTTAGTTAAGTGTTAGTGCTTCACATGTGTTAGTTAAGTGTTAGTGCTTCACATGTGTTAGTTAAGTGTTAGTGCTTCACATGTGTTAGTTAAGTGTTAGTGCTTCACTTGTGTTAGTTAAGTGTTAGTGCTTCACTTGTGTTAGTTAAGTGTTAGTGCTTCACATGTGTTAGTTAAGTGTTAGTACTTCACTTGTGTTAGTTAAGTGTTAGTACTTCACATGTGTTAGTTAGGTGTTAGTGCTTCACTTATGTTTGTTAAGTGTTAGTGCTTCACTTGTGTTAGTTAAGTGTTAGTGCTTCACATGTGTTAGTTAAGTGTTAGTGCTTCACTTATGTTTGTTAAGTGTTAGTGCTTCACTTGTGTTAGTTAAGTGTTAGTGCTTCACATGTGTTAGTTAAGTGTTAGTGCTTAACTTATGTTTGTTAAGTGTTAGTGCTTCACTTGTGTTAGTTAAGTGTTAGTGCTTCACTTGTGTTAGTTAAGTGTTAGTGTTTCATTTGTGTTAGTTAAGTGTTAGTGCTTCACATGTGTTAGTTAAGTGTTAGTGCTTCACATGTGTTAGTTAAGTGTTAGTGCTTCACATGTGTTAGTTAAGTGTTAGTGCTTCACTTGTGTTAGTTAAGTGTTAGTGCTTCACTTGTGTTAGTTAAGGGTTAGTGCTTCACATGTGTTAGTTAAGTGTTAGTGCTTCACATGTGTTAGTTAAGTGTTAGTGCTTCACATGTGTTAGTTAAGTGTTAGTGCTTCACATGTGTTAGTTAAGTGTTAGTGCTTCACTTGTGTTAGTTAAGTGTTAGTGCTTCACTTGTGTTAGTTAAGTGTTAGTGCTTCACATGTGTTAGTTAAGTGTTAGTGCTTCACTTATGTTTGTTAAGTGTTAGTGCTTCACTTGTGTTAGTTAAGTATTAGTGCTTCACTTGTGTTAGTTAAGTGTTAGTGCTTCACTTGTGTTAGTTAAGTGTTAGTGCTTCACTTGTGTTGTTAAGTGTTAGTGCTTCACTTGTGTTAGTTAAGTGTTAGTGCTTCACATGTGTTAGTTAAGTGTTAGTGCTTCACTTGTGTTAGTTAAGTATTAGTGCTTCACTTGTGTTAGTTAAGTGTTAGTGCTTCACATGTGTTAGTTAAGTGTTAGTGCTTCACTTGTGTTAGTTAAGTGTTAGTGCTTCACTTGTGTTAGTTAAGTGTTAGTGCTTCACTTGTGTTAGTTAAGTGTTAGTGCTTCACTTGTGTTAGTTAAGTGTTAGTGCTTCACTTGTGTTAGTTAAGTGTTAGTGGTTCACATGTGTTAGTCAAGTGTTAGTGCTTCACTTATGTTTGTTAAGTGTTAGTGCTTCACTTGTGTTAGTTAAGTGTTAGTGCTTCACATGTGTTAGTTAAGTGTTAGTGCTTCACTTATGTTTGTTAAGTGTTAGTGCTTCACTTGTGTTAGTTAAGTGTTAGCGCTTCACTTGTGTTAGTTAAGTGTTAGTGCTTCACATGTGTTAGTTAAGTGTTAGTGCTTCACTTGTGTTAGTTAAGTGTTAGTGCTTCACTTGTGTTAGTTAAGTGTTAGTGCTTCACTTGTGTTAGTTAAGTGTTAGTGTTTCACTTGTGTTAGTCAAGTGTTAGTGCTTCACTTATGTTTGTTAAGTGTTAGTGCTTCACTTGTGTTAGTTAAGTGTTAGTGCTTCACTTGTGTTAGTTAAGTGTTAGTGCTTCACTTGTGTTAGTTAAGTGTTAGTGCTTCACTTGTGTTAGTTAAGTGTTAGTGCTTCACTTGTGTTAGTTAAGTGTTAGTGCTTCACTTGTGTTAGTTAAGTGTTAGTGCTTCACTTGTGTTAGTTAAGTGTTAGTGCTTCACTTGTGTTAGTTAAGTGTTAGTGCTTCACATGTGTTAGTCAAGTGTTAGTGCTTCACTTGTGTTAGTTAAGTGTTAGTGCTTCACTTGTGTTAGTTAAGTGTTAGTGCTTCACATGTGTTAGTTAAGTGTTAGTGCTTCACTTGTGTTTGTTAAGTGTTAGTGCTTCACTTGTGTTAGTTAAGTGTTAGTGCTTCACATGCGTTAGTTAAGTGTTAGTGCTTCACTTGTGTTAGTTAAGTGTTAGTGCTTCACTTAAGTTTGTTAAGTGTTAGTGCTTCACTTGTGTTAGTTAAGTGTTAGTGTTTCATTTGTGTTAGTTTAATGTTAGTGCTTAACTTGTGTTAGCTGAGTGTTAGTGCTTCATCTGTTCCACTAGTGACTATTAGGTCAGTGCTGGAACCTTTTAACTTATATTCACTGTCCCGGGCAGCTGCGGTCCACATCCCTGGTAAACTCTTCAGACGTCTCACTCAGTTCATATTCTTCACTTCCACAGATTTTTTTTCCTGTTTCTCATTTAAGAACTTTCCCTCCTTTACTAACTTTTTTTCCCCAATATGTCTCACGACCTTCCACATCCTGTGATCCCCACTTTCTGACCGTATTTTATCCAATGTTTTTCACTTACGAACAGTTTTCCAATGTGGTTCTTATTTACAAGGCATTTTCACTAATATTTAAAACATCCAGTTATTTTTATTAGTTCCTGTCGAAATTGTAACTTAATAAGCTCGCTTGATTTCAGCTCCTTAAATATATTAAATGTACAGTTAACACATCACATATGTTGTCAAGATAGTTTGTATCTTGTTGCAAAGCAGCAAATCACATCATTCTTAATGATATCTGAAATCCTATGATTATTTCCACACTTTGTATCAACTAGTTCAGTTAACTACTGAATAACGAGGTTAATCTACGAAGTGACTTCAGAGTTAATGATAAGACATCGGGAAGTTAAAGATCATGTTCGCAATACTACGCTATGTAAATAATTAACAACTTTGTGATGAGACTTGAATCTATGAAACGACTGTAATATCTAAAAGATATTGCTATATGCAAGATGGTTATCCTACTGTAATCTCTATAATTCTGTTTTCCTGTGTGTTAATTGTCTCAGGACAAGCATAGAAACACAATCAATGAGGCGTTCAAATGAAAAAAAAAATTAATTGTGGACATCTCTAGTGTTTTCCATGAATTCAACAATAACTGTAGATAGTATGTGCATCATCTGTTGTGTCAAGAGTAGTGATGAATGACCCTCACTTGTTAAGTGATTCTTGTGAATATAATAACGATGTCCGGAATGCATGAAACGGATGTTGAATGTTATCGTAATGAGTTATCACTTAGGTGCACAATGTTATCCGAACGAGCTATCACCTAAGTGCACAATATTATCCTAACCAGTTATCACCTTAGTGCACAATGTTATCCTAACCAGTTATCACCTTAGTGCACAATGTTATCCTAACCAGTTATCACCTTAGTGCACAATGTTATCCTAACGAGTTATCACCTAGGTGCACAATGGCAAAAACCCACACTTGATCAAGCTCATTTTTGGGCGAAATGTAGCATTAAAAGGATTCTCTGGTACCACTGTCTTCATTTCTGAGTTACCACCTGCAAGGTGTACCTGGGGTTTCTCGGTGCTCTTCAAGACAGTGTGATGCTGGTGGACTTTTGAGCTGCACTAAATCTCACGCAGGTGCAGTATGAGCCATGTTAAGTTTTCCCAAAAAGGAATATAATACTAACAGTGGAATTTTCTGGTTGGTGTGAGATTATTAATGTACCTCCATCCTCGGTAGTGATGGTGTCTGCTACGGAAGGTCCCTCGTTACCAGAGAGTGTCACGGGTGTTACTGTCACGTCGTACGTGCCACAGGCCTGCAGGGAAGATATGGTGGCCGACGTGTCCTCCACCTGTCGATACATTTACAGTCAGCATCTGGTATGGTAAGAAAGGACCCTCTCCCTCACCACCACCACCATCTGGCCCTTTCCATTACTACCACTTGGCTCTCTCTCCAACCACCTGCCACACATATTCACTGTAATTAGCCACACATATTCACTGCAATTAGTCACACCACCTGCCATACATATTCACTGCATTTAGCCACACCACCTGCTCGTTTCTTTCACCACCACCCATCCTCCCCCCTCCCCTCACTACACCAGACCATCTCCCTCACCACCTGCCAGACCTACTTACCGATTCACACACAGATTCCTCGCTTCCTTGGGGTTTGGTGCACACCTCGTAGTGATCTACACAGCCTGCGTTCTCAGCAGGAGCGTCCCACTGTAAGGTTGTCCCGGTGTCGTCTTCTCCCGCCACCACCAAGTTGCTGGGAGACGTCACGGCTGTACACGGCAATAATTACTCATAAATGCCAAGTTTATAATAACAGTAATAAATAATAAATTTATTTTGACATGATACATGGTTGTACAAAATATAATAGTTGAGTGTACATGACAAAAGCCCCTTGTATGCAGAACATTTTAAGATACCAAGACAGACATAATTTAGTAGGATGTAGGACCATACATACAGAGCTTTTCTTGTGAATCTTCAAAAATTAACAGAAACAAAACTTACTTCTGGCGACCACTGTTTATTTTCAGAGATAAATGAGTGTGTGCGTGCACGAGTGAAGCACACACACACGCACACCCGTGCAACAACGATTAGGTGAGTACACACACACATATAATGAGAAGGCCAGGACGAGCTCTTGGTTCACCCAAAGGTGTAGAAAGGCCAAAACCAAATGTGCTAGAGAATGGAAGAAGTTTAGAAGGCAAAGGACCTAGCAGAATAAGGAGAGTACTCGAAGAGCCATAAATGAATATGCTCAGGTAAGGAGGGAGGCCCAACGACAATACGAAAATGACATAGCAGTGAAAGCAAAATCCTACCCGAAGCTGTCAGGATGGGTATGGGGTGCATAATAAACATATTAAACTTAAACTAAGCTGTTGTACAGCCACATCAGGAGGAAAACAACAGTCAAGGTCCAGGTAATCAGGCTGAGGAAGGAAGGCGGGGAGATCACAAGAAACGACAGAGAAGTATGTGAGGAGCTCAACATGAGATTCAAAGAAGTGTTCACAGAGGAGACAGAAGGGACCCCAGAAACAAGGAGAGGTGGGGTACACCACCAAGTGCTACACACAATACATACAACTGAGGAGGAGATGAAGATGCTGCTAAGCGAACTAAATACCTCAAAGGCGATGGGGCCGGATAACATCTCTCCATGAGTCCTGAGAGAGGGAGCAGAGTTGCTCTGTGTACCACTAACAACAATCTTCAACACATCTATCGAAAAAGGGAGAGTACATCAGGTATGGAAGACAGTAAAAGTAGCCCCAGTTTTGAAAAAAAAGAGACAGACACGAAGCATTAAACTACAGACCAGTGTCACTGACATGCAAAGTCATGGAGAAAATTGTCAGGAGAAGAGTGGTGGACCACCTAAAAAGGAATGAGCTTATCAACGACAACCAGCACGGATTCAGGAAAAGGAAATCCTGTGTTACAAACCTACTGGAGTTCTATGACAAGGTGACAGTAATAAGACAAGAGAGAGAGAATGGAGGGTAGACTGTGCCTTCTTGGACTGTAAGAAGGCCCTTGACACAGTTCCACACAAGAGATTAGTTCAAAAGTTGGAGGACCAGGCAGAGAAAACAGGGAAGGCACTGCAGTGGATCAGAGAATACCTGAGGGTATTCATCAGCGAGTCATGGTACACGAAAAGGTGTCAGAGTGGGCGCATGTGACGAGTGGGGTTCCACAGCGGTCAGTCCTAGAACCTGTGTTGTTTCTGGTATATGTGAATGACCTGACGAAAGGAATAGATTCAGAAGTGACCCTGTTTGCAGATGAGGAGAATTCAATCGAAGGAGGCCCAGGCAGGACTACAAAGGGATCTGGACAGGCTGCAGGCCTGGTTCAGAAACTGGCTCCTGGAGTTCAACCCCACCAAGTGCAAAGTCTTGAAGATTGGGGAAGGGCAAGGAAGACCGCACACAGAGTACAGACTAGGGGTCCAAAGACTACAAACCTCATGCAAGGAAAAGGATTTTGGGGTGAGTATTATTCCGAGCACATCTCCTGAGGTGCACAACAATCAAATAACTGCTGTATCATATGGGCGCCTAGCAAACCTAAGAATAGCATCTCGACATCTCAGTGAGGAAATCGTTCACTTCGTGTACTTCAGGCCCATATATGTCGCTTGTCTCTTCAGACTGTTTCAGACTACGGAACAGTACTCTTCTCCAGCCTGAGGGACTGACAACCTCAAATATACGACTTTAAGGGTGATGGACTGATTACATCGTCTTCACATCCCTACTGCTCCTGCCTACTTTCTGTAATCCACTGGAGAAGCCTACTATGTAGGCGAAACGTTGCGGAATAAAGTTGCCTAATTGTTGTCCATATGTCTTATCTACCATCCTGTCGGTATTGTATACCATTTTGATATTCACCAGTTTCGAACCCACACCTGGCGAAGCACGTTAGGAAATTAGAGAAAGTCCAAAGGTTTGCAAAGAGACTAGTCCCAGAGCTAAGGGGCATGTCCTGTGAGAAGTTTTGGAAAATCGACCTGATGATACTGGAGGACAGGAGAGATGGGACGGGGGGATATGATAGCGACATACAAAATACTGGGAGGAATCAACAAGGTGGACAGAGAGAGGATGTTCCAGGGACACAGCAACAAGGGGTCACAATTGGAAGTTAAAGACTCGGATGAGTCACATGGATGTTAGGAAGTATTTCTTCAGTCATAAAGTCGTCAGGAAGTGGAAAAGACTAGAAAGTGATGTAGTGGAGGCACGATCCATGCATAGGTTTAAGAAGAGGTATGATAAAGCTTATGGAGCAGGTAGAAAGTGACCTAGTAGCGACCAGTGAAGAGGCTGGGCCAGGAGCTGTGACTCGACCCGTGCAACCACAATTAGGTGAGTGCAATTAGGTGAATACTTACGGTCATCATCCGCGAAACCAGTGTACGTAGCCACATCTCCTTGGTATGAACCAATCGATGGGTCGGTAAAGAAGGGAATGAGGTCGAACTTGTATGCCGTACAAGCGTACAAGTAGTCTACGGTAACAGAACAGTGACTCAAAGGGCAGCGGACACTTATTGTGTAGTCAGGGTCATTGTTAACCATAAGAGTGTACTTCTCAAGAGGGTCGGCTCCTTCCACGAAGTCCCACTCCAGCGTGATTGTACCATCACCACTGTCTGTCTGGATGAAGTTTTCGATGTGGCCTGTACAGGAAGAATGTTTTTGTATCAGAATTAGTTATGCCACACTGCTTGTCTACCTTGATCTGTTATTTCACAAGGCCAGAGCAAGAATTAGCTATGCTCACCAAACACATTAATCTAAGACAATTTTCCAGCAATACTTCATCGCACAGGATTTAAAGTATTCCTTTCAGAAGAAAGACTGAATTTATTTTTACATTGGTCTTAGATACCCATTTAGGATGAGCTGTGTTCTGAACTCTGTTTTGTCTCGTTGTGAGATTAACTTTGACGTGATTATTTTGGTTAGCAAAGACAAAAATGAAAACTAAATTAAGAAAGGCCAAAGAAGTTCTCAGAAACTTTCTGGTTAACTAATACTCAAGTCAGGAACCTTTCGAAAACAACCTCTTTAAGTATTAATCAAATTATATATAACATTCTCACCCTCTCTGAGGTGCACTGCCGCAGTTTTTAAAGATCTATCAGTGGAAGAATTATAACAGTTGTTGATAAATGTTGCAAAGGACTAATCCTAAAATTACTGTTTAATATAAAATTTAACTGAAACAGGAAAAGTGGTATAAAAAATTAAACCATTTTTTCCTATTATTGGGGAAATATCCACGATAAAAGACATAAAACAGAAATCCTTCATTGTCTCACCAGGGCTCAGCGCTGCGCAAACAGTGAACACTGCCACCAAGCACACGAAACTCTTCATGGCGCTGTTAATACCGTCTCTGGCAATCTGAAAACGGTCTGGTCCAGCGCTGGAAGAGCAGCAAACTAGGATGGTGAAGAGATGAGTCCACTCTATATATCTTAATGCTGGGAATGTCCTTGAGTTGTTTACAGTGGTGATGTTGCACGAGTTTCACCTCTGTGCAGAGGCAGTGTACTGTACCACAACACCCACATGCATTTCGTTGCTACTGCAGTCATGGGAATTAACAGGTGTGTGTGTGTGTGTGTGTGTGTGTGTGTGTGTGTGTGTGTGTGAGTGTGTGTGTGTGTGTGTGTGTGTGTGTGTGTGTGTGTGTGTGTGTATGTGTGTGTGTTTGTGTGTGTGTGTGTGTACTCACCTAGTTGTACTCACCTAGTTGAGGTTGCAGAGGTCGAGTCCAAGCTCCTGGCCCCGCCTCTTCACTGGTCGCTACTAGGTCACTCTCCCTGAACCGTGAGCTTTATCATACCTCTGCTGAAAGTTATGTATGGATCCTGCCTCCACTACATCGCTTCCCAAACTATTCCACATCCTGACTACTCTGTGGCTGAAGAAATACTTCCTAACATCCCTGTGATTCATCTGTGTCTTCAACTTCCAACTGTGTCCCCATGTTGCTGTGTCCCATCTCTGGAACATCCCGTCTTTGTCTTGTCCATTCCGCACAGTATTTTATATGTCATTATCATGTCTCCCCTGACCCTCCTGTCCTCCAGTGTCGTCAGGCCGATTTCCCTCAACCTTTCTTCGTAGGGCAATCTCCTTAGCTCTGGGACTAGTCTTGTTGCAAACCTTCGCACTTTCTCTAATTTCTTGACGTGCTTGACCAGGTGTGGATTCCAAACTGGTGCTGCATTCTCTAGTATGGACCTGACGTAAATGGTATACAGAGTCTTGAACGATTCCTTACTGAGGTATCGGAACGCTATCCGTAGGTTTGACGCCCGTATGCTGCAGCAGTTATCTGATTGATGTGCGCCTCAAGAGATATGCTCGGTGTTATACTCACCCTCAGATCTTTTTCCTTGAGTGAGGTTTGCAGTCTTTGTCCATCTAAACTATATTGTGTCTGCGGTCTTCTTTGCCTTTCCCCAATCTTCATGACTTTGCATTTGGCAGGGTTAAACTCAAGGAGCCAGTTGCTGGACCAGGCTTGTAGCCTGTCCAGGTCTCTTTGTAGTCCTGCCTGATCCTCGTCCGATTTGATTCTTCTCATTAACTTCACATCATCTGCAAACAAGGACACTTCTGAGTCTATCCCTTCCGTTATGTCATTCACTTATACCAGAAACAGCACAGGTCCTAGGACCGACCCCTATGGAACCCCGCTTGTCACAGGCGCCCACTCTGACACCTCGTCACGTACCATGACTCGTTGTTGCCTCCCTGTCAGGTATTCTCTGATCCATTGCAGTGCCTTTCCTGTTATGTGTGCCTGATTCTCTAGCTTCTGCAGTAACCTCTTGTGAGGAACTGTGTCGAAGGCCTTCTTGCAGTCCAAAAAAATGCAGTCGATCCACCCCTCTCTCTCTCTTGTCTTACTTCTGTCACTTTGTCATAAAACTCCACTAGGTTTGTGACACAGGATTTTCCTTCCCTGAAACCGTGCTGGTTGTCAATTATACACTTGTTTCTTTCCAGGAGCTCCACCACTCTCCTCCTGATGATCTTCTCCATGACTTTGCATACTGTACAGGTTAGTGATACACGTCTGTAGTTTAGTGCCTCATGTTTGTCTCCCTTTTTAAAAATTGGGACTACATTTGCCATCTTCCATACCTCAGGGAGTTGCCCAGTTTCAATGGATGTGTTGAAGATCTTTGTTAATGGCACACACAGCATCTCTGCTCCCTCTCTAAGGACCCACGGAGAGATGTTGTCTGGTCCCACCGCCTTTGAGGTGTCAAGTTCACATAGCAGCTATTTGTAATCCTCTTTATGTATGCTGGGAGGCAGCTGAACAGTCTCGGGCCCCTGACACTTATTGTATTGTCTCTTAACGTGCTAGTGACACCCCTGCTTTTCATTGGGGGGATGTTGCATCGTCTGCCTAGTCTTTTGCTTTCGTTGTGAGCGATTTTCGTGTGCAAGTTCGGTACTAGTCCCTCTAGGATTTTCCAGGTGTATATAATCATGTGTCTCTCCCGCCTGCGTTCCAGGGAGTACAGGTTCAGGAATTCAAGCGCTCCCAGTAATTGAGGTGTTTTATCTCCGTTATGCGCGCCATGAAGGTTCTCTGTACATTTTCTAGGTCAGCAATTTCACCTGCCTTGAAAGGTGCTGTTAGTGTGCAGCAATATTCCAGCCTAGATAGAACAAGCGTCCTGAAGAGTGTCATCATGGGCTTGGCATCCCTAGTTTTGAAGGCTCTCATTATCCATCCTGTCATTTTTCTAACAGATGTGACTGATACAATGTTTTGGTCCTTGAAGGTGAGATCCTCCGACATGATCACTCCCAGGTCTTTGACGTTGGTTTTTCGCTCTATTTTGTGGCCGGAATTTGTTTTGTACTCTGATGAAGTTTTAATTTCCTCATGTTTACCATATCGGAGTAACTGAAATTTCTCATCGTTGAACTGCATATTGTTTTCTGCAGCCCACTGAAAGATTTGGTTGATGTCCGCCTGGAGCCTTGCAGTGTCTGCAATGGAAGACACTGTCATGCAGATTCGTGTGTCATCTGCAAAGGAAGACACGGTGCTGTGGCTGACATCCTTGTCTATGTCAGATATGAGGATGAGAAACAAGATGGGAGCGAGTACTGTGCCTTGTGGAACAGAGCTTTTCACCGTAGCCGCCTCAGACTTTACTCTGTTGACTACTACTCTTTGTGTTTTGTTTGTTAGGAAATTATAGATCCATCTACCAACTTTTCCTGTTATTCTTTTAGCACGCATTTTGTGCGCTATTACGCCATGGTCACACTTGTCGAAGGCTTTTGCAAAGTCTGTATATATTACTTCTGCATTCTTTTGGTTTTCTAGTGTATCTAGGACCTTGTCGTAGTGATCCAGGAGTTGGGACAGACAGGAGCGACCTATTCTAAACCCATGTTGCCCTGGGTTGTGTAATTGATGGGTATCTAGATGGGTGGTGATCTTGCTTCTTAGGACCCTTTCAAAGATTTTTATGATATGTGATGTTAGTGCTGTCGGTCTGTAGTTCTTTGCTATTGCTTTACTGCCCCCTTTGTGGAGTGGGGCTATGTCTGTTGTTTTTAGTAACTGTGGGACGACCCCTGTGTCCATGCTCCCTCTCCATAGGATGGTAAAAGCTCGTGATAGGGGCTTCTTGCAGTTCTTGATGAACACGGAGTTCCATGAGTCTGGCCCTGGGGCAGAGTACATGGGCATGTCATTTATCGTCTGTTTGAAGTCATTTGGCGTCAGGATAACATCAGACAGGCTTGTGTTTACCAAATTCTGTGGCTCTCGCATAAAAAATTCATTTTGATCTTCGGCTCTCAGTCTGGTTGGCGGCTTGCTAAAAACTGAGTCATATTGGGACTTGAGTAGCTCAATCATTTCCTTGCTGTCATCTGTGTAGGACCCATCTTGTTTAAGTAGGAGCCCAATACTGGATGTTGTTCTCGACTTTGATTTGGCATAAGAAAAGAAATACTTTGGGTTTCTTTCGATTTCAGTTATGGCTTTTAGTTCTTCCCGCGATTCCTGACTCCAGTAAGATTCCTTTAGCTTAAGTTCGATGTTTGCTATTTCTCTGACCAGTGACTCCCTACGCATTTCATATATACTGGCCTCTTTTAGCCGCTGTTATTATTTTCCGTAGCCTGTAAAGGGAGCGCCTGTCTCTTTCTATTTTATATCTACTCCTCCTTTTTCTTAAAGGAATAAGCCTTGAGCATACATCGAGTGCCACCGAGTTAATCTGTTCTAGGCATAAGTTAGGGTCTGTATTGCTTAGTCTATCTTCCCAGCTTATTTCATTTAGGACTTGGTTTACTTGGTCCCACTTTATGTTTTTGTTATTGAAGTTGAATTTGGTGAAGGCTCCCTCGTGACTAGTCTCATTATGTCGGTCTGGGGCTCCGCGCATACATGTCTGAACCTCAATTATGTTGTGATCTGAGTATATTGTTTTTGATATAGTGACATTTCGTATCAGATCATCATTGTTAGTGAAGATGAGGTCTAGTGTATTCTCCAGTCTAGTAGGCTCTATTATTTGCTGGTTTAAGTTGAATTTTGTGCAGAGATTTAAAAGCTCGTGTGTGTGTGATCACAATAAGATCACGGTAAACAGGTGATTTCAGAATATGCAAAATAACCAATGTGAAAGAATAAAGAAATTCCAAGCACTTTCGTGACTACTCACATTATCAAGGAACAATATGAGTAGTCACGAAAGTGTTTGGACTTTCTCTATTCTTTCACAGTGGTTGTTTTGCATATATTATATATACATATATATATATATATATATATATATATATATATATATATATATATATATATATATATATATATATATTATATGTCGTGTCGAATAGGTAAAACTGGTCAATTATTAAGAACTCATTTAAAATTAAGTCCTTTCTAAAATTTTCTCTTATACATTTAAAAATATATATATATTTTCATTTATGTTAATGTAAAAATTAATAATTTTGTAACAAAAGAACCTTAGGAAACCTACCTAACCTTATTATAACAAGCGCAATTTAATTTAGCCTAATCCAACTAAATATATTTTAAATAAATTTACAATAATTAATAATAAACAAACACAATGATATATATTTTTTTCGTTAGGTTCAGAATGATTTTTGCGATAATTTTTCGCGTGCCTTATTCGGCAAGAAGAGCGTTGCTATTTAAGCCAAAATCACAAGTTATTACCTATTCGGAACGACATATATATATACATACATTACTGCAGTTGTTTGTTTCTCAGGAGAATGACCTAATTGTAATCTGCTGGCAATATTTAATACTGATATTTACATATATGTATTTCTTATAACGTTCGTAGAGATGTCGTGAGAAAGCACCAGCTGGGGTACTGGAGATGCTGCTGGCCAGTGAGGACTGACCAGTGGGTGCTGACCACTGTGGACTGACCAGTGACTACAAC